CTTTACTACTCAATATTCTACGATCCAATGCTTTACTACTCAATATTCTACGATCCAATGCTTTACTACTCGCTAAATTCGCATTATCGCACCGTTCACTCCAGTTTAACGAAACAAAGGTATCGAGGAGCAAGAAGCATCGCCGACTGCTTCGTCCTTGATCGTGACTCTATCTCACGGAGACGAAAAAACCAGCCAACGGGAATATTCCTGGCTCGGAAAGGAACCCTGAATTCAATCCTGCACGATAACGTCTCATCGATTTATTAACTCGGTTACCTTAGAAACCCGGTTCGCTGGCCCTCAGTTAGTCTGGGGGACACGGATAACTGTTATCACGATGCACGAACACAATCGATTCTTACCGCTTGGGTGTAGTCCAGCCAGAGTTTCGAGTCTATCTTCCTCCTGCACGACATTGTTCCTCAATGATTATCGTTCCACCCACTCACTACCTGTATTTTTATTCCAGTCGAGATCGGCAGCAACGTTCCTCGCCCTTCATTCACGGCTCTCCCTGTATTCGAGTCTATCTCGCGCACACTCCGCTACAGTCATCTCTCAGGGAAGAGCCTTTTTGTTTCGCCAAGAATCGAGCTGAAATTTGTATCGACATCGAGATACTTTCTCGTTTATTCATCCTCGACGCTTGCATTCCTCGCGGTTGATGAAACGATTCCAGTAATTCTCGCGTTATCGCGCTCGTTTCTTTACTATTTGCGCTGGATTAGGTGTTCGCCGACGATCAACTGGTCCAATAAATAATTGTGCTCGACAATGTGGGTTTAACCATTCTTGATATCCGATTAGTCCAGACTCGGAATGCTAAGTTTTCGATACTGGAGATCACTGGCTTTTCAGTGTTTCCGACTACTTGTTGGCGTCGAACTGGTCGAATAAACAATCGCGGTAAATACCGATTCGACATATTTTCTTCGGCTGAGGTACTTCTAGACTTGAACGATTTCGTTCAATTCTTTGGACTGGAACACTCTTGTACAGAATAATTTCTCATTAGTTGATTTTATTTTCCGTTTGATTAATTATTACACGCACTAGAACCTTGGAACCAGAATTTTTTAAAAATCTTGAAAATTCAATTTTTTTATATGATTTTAAGCATTAAAAATTATTTATAAAAATAGAAGAACGGTACAATATTTTTAAAAAATTCTAGTTCGAGCGATAGCCATCCACCTTTAGATTAACATGCAATTGGTTTTTTTTTTTTTGTATTACAGATTAGCCAGTCTGCCGAAATCATGGACGCCGTTCGTCTATCTTTTTCTTACATACGAGGGATAAATCTCGTGATCCACATTATATTTTTGCTTAAAAAAAATTCAAAGTTACAGTTAAAGGCTGAATAAACATATAGTAAAAATTTGAAAGCTCTGTGTTTTTTCATTTCGCTATAAAACAATTCCGAAAAATCTGATAAAAAAAACGGTCGTCACAACGGGATGACTCCCTTAAATAGAGAATTGGCCAATTCCCTTTGACCAAGTTATTTCTTGATTTGGACGATTTCGTTGGGTCCTCGAGACTGTTTGATTATTTCCTTCTGTTTCTTACTCGGATAATTATTGCACTGAACGAAGCACGTCTCTGCCGAAAAAGAACTGGTCCAATAAATGACGATGTTCAACTATCGATGCTCAACGAATCCTTCCGAGTCGCATTGACCTTCTTTCTTCTCGAATCAAACACTCTTCTTGGAGATTTTTCTATTTCAACTGTAGCCCTGTTTAGCTTTCCTACGTTCCACTAGCTACACAGCCTCGCCGCGAGAATCTTTCCAACGTTCCTCGTCAATGGGGAGCAACGTGTTTCACGGAATTTGAATTCCCATCGACGATGTAAAACACAATGGCAGCGTAATCTATTCTTGCCGCGCGATAATTTTAAACTTCTTTCCCTCGCTATCTCGCCGAGCCGAGTATCCACTTAACAGGTATAATCCGTTCGACACGTGGATACGGAATTATTGTTCGGGACAGAGGCAGTTTGCCTGATTTAACATCCAACGTGAGCGTATGTCTACGTCAACGATACACGTGGTTGTCGCTGTTCGTTGACTAGATTTTCAGAGCAATCGAATCCGTCGGAATCCTTTTAAACGAATTCGTGCAAAGATACGGTGCAAACACGTGCAGGAATACGCGTGGCAATAATAGAGTCATGGTTCTCGAGAGTAACGAGACCGGGAGATTCGTTTGCAAGCACGTTAACGGGACCTATACGGTGTTAATTGGACGGCATTAATTGGCTTCGACGACGTCAAACGTGTCGCGTTTGAAGCAAGTCCTTTCGTCGCGTCGAACAGTTGCGTAAATCTTGGTTCTCTGAAAGCGTCGTTGCGACACCGACTTCCGTATATTCTGGCGGTTCTTTTCTTCGTGAGATTAAATGATCCATGAGCACCGAAACGATCAACGACTAGGTTAGAAACTGCACCAATTACATCACGTTCTTACTGTACACGGTTGCGCATACTCCTTCGCGCTTGCACACTATCGGACTTTTTCACCGAGTTCATCGCGGATGGGCAAAATTCTTAGTTGGAATTCTTAGCTAGACGAACCATTTCGAGCAACGAATCAAGGACGAACAGGTTTTTGATTGGGTCTAACTACAGTGGTACATCGATTTGCTTCTTCCGTATTAACTCAACCCTTTGCGCTCGAGTGGCGCCTCTAGGGCGACATATGTATTTTAACGCTTTGGCTGCCATGGATGATTCATATGGAAATGTTTACAGAACGAAAATTTTGTCTCGAGACAATTAGAAACCGTAGAATCTAACATTTGTCGTATTACTCGCTTTAGTATTCTCGTCAAAATTTACGAATTCTATCCAGATCAGTTTCCATCGACACTTTTAGTTCTTGAAATCATTTGTTGAAGTTCCTTAGTGAAAAGCTCCGTCACCCGTACGTGGGTGACGCGGCGTTCAACGTGTTAAAAGTGATTTTGTGTACGTACAATTTCAAATTCACTTAGATCAGAATACAGCTGATTATTCATTGAAATAATGATGACATCGAGTCACGAACGTTCGTTGGTTTTTTTCTCTTCGAAGTAGAGCTTTCGGTTTCACATTATAAAAATCGACTGGATTCGATTCTATAGAAAAATGACTCGAGCGCAAGGGGTTAAGTTAATACGGAAGAAGCAAATCGATGTACCACTCGAAATATCAACGTTGCTGTATGCCACCGCGCACCATCGCGAACAAAGTCCGTGCACCGCGGCAAGAAACGTGAGACTAAACGTCGTCGAAAAGCTTTTGCGTTATCTGTTGCATGCAGAGTACCGATAACAGTCGACGAGGACAACGACGCCAATCGTTACGAAGATACACGGGGAGAGATTAGCAAGGTGAAGGAACAAAGTTCAGCGAATAAGACTGTTGCATGATCCAATTCAAATGTATTTGTTGGTATACTCGCTACTTTTAACACATAAATTAAGATTACATAAATTAGATGAGAGATTTGACCGTTTCGTTGAACTTGGCCAGTAAAATTATTTTACAGAAAATCTATTATTTTATACCTTTTTTGTGTTTACACAAACTCTCACGTTTATTTTCTGAAGTACAGTTAGTACAGAGGATTACAGACGCATTTGCTGCGATTAGAGAAAATGAAGAAGGAATTAATTAGTAATACGACAGGGTCAATTTTTGTTAAATGCCAATCCTGCATTCGTCGTAATGTTAACGCCTCAAGTTTGTTGGTAATTTTACTCCTCCCTTAAGGAGAATTCCGTTTGTCGTTAATAATCGCCACGTACCAGTTAATCGCACCGTTTCCGGTTTTACGTGAAAGCCATCATTCCGTCACACGTTACGTCACCGTGTATCGAATCATGGTGTCACGCAGACTGGCTGTTATCGTTCTTGTTAACATTCTTATCGCAATGATATATGCATGGCGGAGCTTCCCAAAAAAATGATAACGATCAATCTTCCACGCGTTGAACATTGAAATCGCTTGCATATACACCCTCGGTCATAAATATGTGGACACGTACTACTTTCAATGAATAATTAATATACATCGTAAATTATTATTATACAACTTTTCTTGCTAAATTCTATATCGGATGTGTGTTTCACAACGTTTAATTATATTAAATGCCGTGTTTAATTTTATAGTGGAACTACGAGATCGTTTGGATAGAAAAGTTCAGAAAGAACGTTCGATATATAAAACACATTTATGGTGAAATATTACAAAATAAATGAGATAACATTACTTCGGATACAATGAAGAAATTAATAGTATCAAAGTTTGGTAAAAAAAAATGTTAACATTGTCTAGTTATCTCTAAAGCTTTTTATCATTATTAACGTGATATTAAAAAGAACTATTAATAAAATATATACGCGTACGACATAAACATATCGAAAGATAAATAATATAATTGATATTAATGGATATGCAACTGTTATTAGATATTTAGTGTTCGCACACTTCTGAGCGATGGGTGTACCCGTTAGAAATAAAATTCTGATCCACGTATTACCTTTCTTTGGGTTCCTTACCAAGGTAATTAATGCGAGAAATTCTTTTTAACGAATCCTATATAGTCTATTTAAAATAGTAAAAGAGATTTAGAAACGTCTCTCGCGTCAAGTTTGTGAAATTGAAATTTTGATCGGCTCAGTGCCAACGAAAATGATAGCGGTTGGAAAGTAACGCGGTTAACGCTGCGTTTAATCATGGTCGTGATAAATTATTCGCGCAACCACGTGGAAACGATTGGCGCGTACACGGCGTTACGTACGAACTTTTAAATGTAGGCGAAGTCGCGCGATGCGGGTACGTACCTACGATACTTATGGTCGTTTCGTGTTTGCGTACGCGCACACAACGACCAAAGGCAGGTGTACAACAAAAGGATACCTTTTGTGCGGGTCTTTGCGTACTACACGACCGATTTAAAGATACGCCTTGACAACCACGGTGCGTCAACTTTTCGCAATCGGACACAATAACACGGCTCGTAACACAGTCACGGATTCGGTATCCGATTTCTGCTTCTTTTTATTGTGCAATAAACATCGCAAACAAAGTTTTCTACCGTCAGACATGGTCGCAAGGAATTGTATTACTCTTAAGTTCGTTAGATAAGAATGTAGTTCGTTGTAATTTTTTGTGACAGAAAATGCTACGCGAATCCGTACAATTTCAGCAGATTTTTTATGAGGATATTGTTGGTTTATTATCAAATAAACATAACAAAAATAAATCTAGAGTTGAGCGACACTGCGTCTCTCACAAGGGAAAGTTTCGTTTCTGGTGCCATCGTAGTTGGGCCTCTGGCAGTATTTGTATCGCAAGAAAAGATTAACACGTTGAACGCCACGTCACCCACATATGGATGACAGATTTTCGCTAAGGAACTTTAGCAGTTCATTTTAAGAGGTAATGTATCAATGAAAATAAGTCCGAATAGAATTCGTAGATTTTGACGACGATACAAAAATAAGTAACACGACAAACGTCAGACGCGTTAGTTTACAACTGTCTCGAGACACAATTTTAACCCTGTAGGCATTCCCTTTGGAATCAGTCCGGCAGTCAACGTGTTAAAAGAGGACACCATGTACATAGGTAATAGAAATTGGTAAATTACTCGTTTGAGGAATTTTAAACGCCTGCTAATTGCTTCCATTTCGCTTCACTGTTTTTACTTTTATCGCTCCAATCGCATCCGCCCAATGGTGGAAATTCCTTATTAATATGTGTATGTTTGAACGAAACACAGGTTTAGAAATATCGGCTATGTTGTGATCTTGATAGCGACATCTGGCCCGTTATCTTATCTTTCTTTTTCTCGCTGGTTTCTCCCCGTCGATTGGTTTACTTGGAAACGATACACGTTTATCTTGCCCGGTGGAATTACATTCTGTTTCGTTCCTACCGCGTAGATTTGGAATTCGGATAAGACCGATGAAAACCCTCCCCTTCCATTCGTGTCGATCGATAAATGTACATTTTTCCCCTGGAAACATTGGGCGATTACTAAAATGGCTGTCATTGACCTTATTCTTCTACCAAAATACTTGACGAGATCTAATGGCTGCGAACTTGTAATAAGATCTTCAGATTTAGATTGGGAGGGAGAAGATTTTTCATACGGAAAAGTATATACTAGAGATCACGGTTTTGAACGGGTATTAAAATACACGGATAGACGGAACACGTGTACCGTGGATATATACAGGGTGTCCCAAAAGTCGGGGAGGAGCCGGAAATGGGGGGTAGCTGAGACGATTCTGAACGACAATTTCCTTTGCAAAAATGTCGGATGGGGCTTCGTTGAGGAGATATTAAGCGAAAACCCCGACCAATCAGAGCGCGCGTAGACCGTTGGAGCGGGCGCGGTAGCGAAGGCTACGCGCTGGTGGCCGCGCTTGTACGCGAACAAGTGACTCGACGTGCATCGAAGGACATTGACGCGTAGCCTTCGCTACCGCGGCCGCTCCAACGGTCTACGCGCGCTCTGATTGGTCGAGGTTTTCGCTTAATATCTCCTTAACGAAGCCCCATCCGACATTTTTGCAAAGGAAATTGTTGTTCAGAATCGTCTCAGCTACCACCCATTTCCGGCTCCTCCCCGACTTTTGGGACACCCTGTATAGATTGTAATAGAAATAGAATGTAATAGAAAATGTCTGGAGGCTCCTTAAAAGGAAAGTTTATGAATCTCCAAGCAACACATTATCACAATTGAAAACAAAAATTACAGATATTTGGGAAAATAGTAAATAGTAAATATTAGTAGTAAATAATAGTAATAGTAATACTAATAGTAAAATAGTAAAATGTCGATGAGGATACAAGCTGTCATTAAAGAAATTGGTGGAAATGCAAAATATTAACGTGTGTTAACAATATTATGTACAGTAGTAGTGTATTATGTTAGTAGTTAATAAATTATATCAGCACAATTTCAACAAGCGAAAACGCGAAAAATGCTTAAAATTTATAGTGGTCCTAATTCAGTTAGGCAGGTAATATAATAGTATATTCAACAGGTATGCATTGCTCTGGGTAGTGTTAACCTTAAATTTCGTAAGCACGTGTTACTTTCACTTTAGTCATCAATTATTCTTTCTGCTATTTAAAGAGAACTTGTGAAAGATGTAGTTCAAATTTTTATTTGATCTTTCTCAAACATTTCAATCTATAATTAAAATTCAAACTTTTATGCAAGGAATGCCAAACTAAAAGTTATTCATCTTTTATTTTTATTAATTACTAATACAATGAAATTGTGATAATACTGCGCTAGGTAAAAATTAGTCCAACTTTATGGTCCAGAGTTGATACTACGGCATTTCAAATATGACACAAGAATAAACGATATTATTTTTTTTCCAACTTAAAAAGAAATTAACACGCGTACCGTGTATTAAGGAATTAAGAACACGGGTATTTTTAATACACGGTTACCCGGGTATTTCGATACACGCGAAGCAGGGGTCTCTAGTATAAACATATTGGGACAAACCGGGATGACTATCTCGTACAATACGAAAAAACGGAAATCCTAGCTAATTCCAACTGCTACCACCTCAGAAAATATCATGATGGATTAAAAATACTTAAAAATCCGAGTACAGTTATGGTTACAGAATGGCTTCAATTGAAGACTCGTCTTTTTTTAAAACAAACTTTTTCCCAAGAGCCTCGCAAATCGTACAGCTATCACTTGCAATATAGATTGAAATTGGTTTTTATTAATTTTATACTTTTTCATTTTAACAAGGCAGTGGAACGCAATTTTCTGTTGAACGTCTAACGAGTAAGGAGATTAGAAGGAAACTTTCAGTTTCTCCCGCGTTAAATGTAGCACAAAATGCCAACGGAGCATCCGTTTGATTGCTAAATTCGAAATTGCGCTACCGCTTTGCTGAAAATGATGAACGTGCCTCGTTTTGAAATATCGAACCACGCGAAGAAATCACTGGTGATAACGG